ACCGGGGGGCGCCTGGAGCGGGTGTCGAGAGCGGGGGGAGGTTGCTCCGGGGTCGCTAACGCCGTCGAGCCCGTCTCTTACTGGCCACGGCGTTCTCTGTGTGTCGGGAAGGTGCTCCTGCTAGGAAAGACCTGATGTCTGCCCCGCGAAAGCCGTCCAGTTCGGTCTTCCGTGAAGGTCTGTGCGAAACTGGTGAATGGGCATAGGCACTGCGGGCGCCTGGAGTAACCCTGGTGTACTCCTGCAGTTACTGCTGGCTTGCACAAATGCTGCCTCTTCGTTAAAGATAGAAGGCTGCAGTTATGCTAGTTACCTTTTTGTTCCGCTGTAATTAGTGAAACGTTCAATTCAGCAAGCTGTAAAGTGCTGCTCTGAAACTCTGCTGTGTAAGACTGCACGAGTTAGGACAGCTGCAACTGTTCTGTGTTGTTTAATCTTTCTGAACAGCAGATCTGTTCATCGCTTCAGCAGATCTCTCTTAACCGATGTTTACCAAAACATCTCTTGGCTCATAGATTAGTCATCTCACACTTTAAGAGCAAGAGAGAAAGTAAAAAAGAAGGATTTGTTTTCCGCTTCGTACTTCCTTCCGTGCTTTGCTAGGGGAATTAAAGCAATGTCTTCTCTTTTGTTTTTAAGTTATTACATGGCACATCTGCTGCTTAATTAGCTAAACAAACATAGCTGGCTCAGAGTCTCAGGGAAGATGCGTGAATAACATCCTGAGCCTCAAAAGCTTCTCTAGTAGGTAGTGTACGTATGCATACAATTTCTTTTTTTTACATATGTATCCAGTAAGATTCAATACAAGTTACATATAAGCATTAAAACCGCTATACCACATTATAAATGTGTTCCAGTCAGTCTTGCTTCTTGTCTAGATATTTACTGATATATTTCTACTAAAGAAAAAAGTACTTTTGTATAATGGTGTCACAGTTCATTTATTTTATTTTTTTTAGTGAAACTGAAAAAGTTACTTTATACAAAAAGTACCTTGAGTTTGAATGTCCTGCAACCTCCTGTAGAATTAAGGTAGGGAGTCAGAGTTGTTTTATTTGTGTTTTTAATCACTTAATTGACTAAATTGCCTTGCTCTTAGTGAAATTATTTTTTATACTCTTCATCACTTCATATGATCACTTAAAAATCTGTTAGATGGTATTGATAGCAGAGTTATCCTTTTGAATTTGTGTCACAGTTTCCTTCTTATGAAGACTTAATATTTATATGAGAAAGATAATAACCTCTTAGAGGAAAAAAAACAACTTCATAAACCAGATAACCTGCAGATAATCAACAGTCACTATGTAATCAGAATGGTTAACTCTGATGTGGTTAAATAACCTTGTGAAAATCTGTATGGTCACTGCTCTTAGTGCTTCAAAGATCAAGGCCTGATTTATCTTTGGGTCATGCAGGCACCTGTGTTCCAGTCAGAATTCTTGGAAGAGTAATAGCAAGGAGAAGTCAGCTTAATTTCATAGAACCATAGAATGGTTTGGGTTGGAAGGGACCTTAAAGATCATCCAGTTCCAACCCCCCTGCCATGGGCAGGGACACCTTCCCCTAGACCAGGTTGCTCAAAGCCTCATCCAATCTGGCCTTCAACACTTCCAGGGATGGGGCATCCACAGCTTCTCTGGGCAACCTGTTCCAGTGCCTCAGCACCCTCAGAGGGAAGAATTTCTTCTTTATCTCTAATCTAAATCTCCCCTCTTTCAGTTTAAAGCCATTGCCCCGTGTCCTGTCACTCCATGCCCTTGTAAAAAGTCCCTCTCCAGCTTTCCTGTAGCCCCTTTAGGCACTGGAAAGCTGCAATAAGATCACCCCGGAGCCTTCTCTTCTCCAGGCTGAACAGCCCCAACTCTCTCAGCCTGTCTCCATAGCAGAGGTGCTCCAGCCCTCGGATCATCTTCATGGCCCTTCTCTGGACCCGCTCCAACAGGTCCATGCCCTTATGTTGGGGGCCCCAGAGCTGAATGCAGCACTGCAGGTGGGGTCTCACGAGGGCATAGTAGATGGGGAGAATCAAGTCCCTGGAAAAAAGTTCAGCATTGTTTTTCCCAGGACTCAAAGAATAATACATACAAAGAAAACATGGAACTATTTTTTCCTAACAAGAATATTTTTTTTCCTTCTTGCAATAGCTGCTCTCCATTGGTGAGAAACAAAGACTACTCATCAGTAAAATAATTGTACAAGTGAAAACAGTGTCTGCAAAACTAGCAACTGATTTTCCTTCACTAGGCTCAAGCATAGATCTAGACAGAGTGCAAACTATAATGGAGTCTATGGGATCTAAGCTGTCTCCAGGTGCTCAGCAACTCATGGACATGGTCCGATGTCAGCAGAAAGTAAGTAATTGTGGTTTTCCAAAACCAGAAATAGTACTGCTCTGTGGGCTTACCTATTGTAACGCTTAAGCATGCTCTAATCTGATTTGGTGAAAAAGATTTTTGATTTTTTATTTTTTTGACCTAGACTTTCTGCCATTTTAATCCTGATTTGGGTATCGCCACCCTTAAGTAGGGAGTGCAGTGAGTAAAGATTGTGTACTCAGGGAATCACTGTGCATACACCAAGTCCAGAGTTAAGAACTCTGTATCATCATAATTTTAAACTTCATTGCCCCCCTCCTGTCTATTTGTTTATTTCTGTTGTCACGGCTTGTCAAGGATGGTGGGCATGTTCCCTGTGATGTCTGGGGTGTAGGTAAATGGGCTGGTTTGTCCCCTTTGTTGTTATTTTTTGGAGGCATGTCACCTTCAGCTAAAGGGAACGTACTCTTAGAGAGCATTTGTTTGATTTGTGTCCTAATCGTGCAAAGTAGGCTATTTCAACAGAATCCTGAATCCATCTGGTGTTAATAACGTTCAGTCTTGGGAACATAGCGTGGTGAAAATGAAGTCAGTAAAACTCTTCTGTTACTTAAGAGACTGACAAGATAAGTAACACTTAATATGTACAGGGGAAATATTTTCCTGTGCTTTTCCCTAAGAATACAATTCACAACTACTTTTAAAATCTTTACATCACACTAGTAAAATGCTATAATTATTAAGAGTTATGAAGTATGTATTGTTACTGTGCAATTTCCAGTATATTTTAGTACTTAAATATTAACCATATTGTTTTTCTTCTCATCAGAACAGTTTACCTCTTGGAGACAGCCTGAATTGGATCTTTGGGAAAAACTCAGACTTTGGAGGTGACCGTGCAGTAGATGGATTGCAAAGTGCAGCTGTTCAGACACCGTTAGATCAATCAACCAGTGAACCTGTGCCTGTTAAAAACCATTTAACGAGTGGAACAGTGTATGAGGACTTATGTCGTGATTCGAATGCACAAGTACCTGAAAGAAGACTGACTTCTGATTCTCAAAGACTTACTACCCAGCAAAATACAGTTGACCTCAGAAATAATTTTAAAGTTATGGCATCTCTGCATATGCAGGAACAAGCAAGCAAAACCTCAAACGTGGCTAATCCACAGGTGCTTCTTCCTTTTCTTCAGAACTTGTGCAGTCAAGTAAATCATCTGCGGCTAAAAGACGGCGATAGACGGTTTGGTAAAAATGCAGTGACCGTAGAGGAAGGCATTCAGTGTGATGGGTAAGTTAGCTTTGGTACACTTACTGAACTAGTAGTTTGACTGTATTTATTGACAAGTTTAAAAAATAAAATACATAGTATAAACATTTTATTCTCATTAACAGCACTAGTGAGTCTTATGTAGTTGCGAAGGATGTGTGGCGATGAACATGATTATAGTTAGTTTTTCAGATGATCTGCTTGAACATAGTTTTTTCAGCAGAAATCACAACATAATTTCTTGTTACTAAACTGTTTGTGTTTTGCTTCTACCTTTTATGGTTTAAAAAAAAAGTAGTATGGTCTTTCTGCAATTTCATATACATTAATTTGTCTTTCTGTTACTACATTTTCATTTTGACTACTTCTACCTCCTAAGTTCTTATCTCTTCCTTTTTTCCACACTGTGCCACAATCTTTCTGTGTACTTAGTGTATCTCATCCCACTGATCTTCCCTGTTTCCTCCTCGTTGGTTGGCATTTAGAATGGAAACTTTGTAGTAGTAGTAGTGCACTCAGTTTGACACCTAAGGAACAGCAGTGGAAATGGTGAGACATAGGAATGTAATGTAGGAATTGGGGGTCTAAGAAAGGCTGAATATCTCCAGCTCCTGGGAAAGTGCAGTTTTTTAAGGAATGCAGGTGCAAAACTATAGAATTGCGTAGTTTGTATAACTCTTGAAACACTTTAGCTGAGAAGAATAAAGCCTGCCATGCTGATAGAATTTGAACTCCGTGTGCTCTTGTGTGGGTTTTGTTACATGTAGCTAAGCTGTCTAATGTGTAATTATGCCTTTGAAAAACTAAGGTTGAAAGATGATGACTATATACCCTTGTGTGTTTACAAGAATTTCTGAGATTTAAAACGTGGCAGGCAGGCAAGGTATTTCACTTGTGCCAAAAACCTAATATAATCCAAACTTTATTGTCTAATAAGTGAGATTTTACATTTAAAAGAAGTTCGAGTGCCCAGATCTCTCTCATGCCCCTTATCATTAAGAAATAGGTTATACTTATTCTTATATTTGCTCTTTTCACAGAGTAGAACAACAGCCTATTTGCTCCTATTTGGGAAAGATCATCTCAAAAAATATGGATCTGATGGAGAAAAAACTAATGGACTATATTGATCACCAAATCCAGGCTCTTCAGATGCATATAGATAACAGAATGGTTCTCTTAATGGACTTGGTGCAGAACTCAAAGCCAAACAAAATTCCACAGGAGCACTATGATTCCAACGAGGGGCTCTCCAATGGGGAGAGATAGGTGCATATAGATAGAGGACTTCAGCGTAAGTACTTCAAGGGCAATTATGCTTTACAAAGCTTAGTATTTATGGAGTTATAACTGTAAAGAACCTCAGTGTTGTTCACTTGCATTTTGTTACTGTAATTCTATCCAGTATTGTACACAGTTGTTAGTTTTATGGAAGAGCTGAAGAATGTGTGTGTTTTCCTAAACATAAGAATTTTGTATGCCCTTTGTGGCTTATTTATTTAAAGAACATTGCTAAAAGCCATATGAAATACAGTTTCCCAGTTTCAGTTTGAACAATGGAGAAGTACTCTAAATAAACTGAGTTACAGCTTTTTACCTACATGTAATCGGTTCGCTTTTTTGTTGTCTTGATTTTTGATGTGTAACACGTTACTGGTAGAACAGAAAATGGCTTCCTTGTACTCTTGATTTATTTTAATAGCACTCCTGGTGAAGATGTTTATTACTCCATCTGTAAGAGGAAGGGTAGTACTGGTATTGCGTAACTTTATCTGTTTAAGGAGTCAGGTTTAGAGAGACAGGCTAACTGGAACCCCAGCCTGGGTTCTTTGAGAGCGTTGCTGGCTGTACAGGCACCCGAGTTAGGAATCAGGCTCCTGAAGTGGCATCGAAAAGACTGTCGTTATACCTTTTTCCTCCTGAGTTGATTGAGCCATGCAGGAACAACTGAAATGAACATATACTTGGCAGACTTACATTTATCCGTGTTTTGTTGTCCTGAGAAATACAAGTACTTCATTCGTGGTTCCTCTCAAGGGGACCTTGTTGCCAGATAGAACGTGCTGGGGTGGGATCTGCTGCGTTTCCCCAGCCTTAGGCCTGAGAAATAGCCTTATTCATCGTATTTACTTCAGCCTGTTGGGATCTGTTCTGCTGTCGTTTGGAGAGGCAGAAACATGACTCGAAGTCTCTTCTGTGGAAATTCAAACCTCGTTCTGTTTATTGGTCTTTGAATTCCAGGGCCCACCATTTTAACTTGGACTGTATAGGGACTTTATGGTAAACTCCTTAAGTTGGGAGCACAGATACTGGTTGTCTTGGGTGTCTCAAAAGGCATTGAGCAAAAGCTACTGATGGGGCAGCAAGTGTTGACTCAACAAGCAGCATAGGCATGTACAATTCAGTACCTTGTCTAGTCTACCTAATATTTTCTTCTTCTCCAGGAGAACTGATGTCTTCTGAAGAAGCAGATTTTGAAGAGAGGATAACTTGCTTTGAACAGACACCTCACAGTTGTCCCTCAGATTAACTCATGCCAGGTGCAGTTTCAAAGTGATTCAAAAAGATGAAAAGAGAATATTTTTAAGAAAAAAGGACCTAAATTATCTTGTACTTTACAAATCAATTTGCACCTGTAAAATTAGTTTTTAGATGCTTTCTAAGAAACACCCTGAGGTAGACTCTTAATATTCCTTTTCAACTCAGTGATTTAAGATACAGTACTAGCTTGAGAGGGGTTTTTTTAATTACAAAAAAAAGTTGAACTGTGTTTGCAAGAATTGTATTCCAGTGATCTCAGTTTATTGATTTTTGGTTGATTTAGATTATTTTTTTTCTCTCCCCTCTTTGAGTGACAAATCTGAATAGAAGTTGACACAAATTCCAAAATATCCCGAAGTAGTTAATACGAGTTCTGGATTTTCTGGTAGCCATATCCTTCCTGGCGTTTGTGATATTTTAGTATCACAGCTACCACTATGATAGTATTTGAAAGTAAAACCACAAATGAAAGAGTGGAGAAGCTGTATTGTTGCAGGTTCGGAGTTTCTTCAGCTTCTGCTTTAGTGAGGGATTCTGTATAGAGAAAAAGTAAAGTATGATGTTTAAAGTTTTGAATATCTTGTTATTTCAATGAAAATTAAATAAGCGTTTCTTCAGATCCTTTTGGTTCTGAGGGGTTGACCCACACTGATTGCAAATTCCGAATCTGTAGTACTGTAGTACTGAAGAGTTGTAAAAATTTGTAGTATATGAATCATGCAGTAGAGCATCACAGTGTTAACAAGTTATTTGGTATCACTTCAGCCAAGCAGAGCTGTCTTTGTCTTTAGATCCGGATAGATGCGAGAAATATTGCTGGGCAAAGCTGGGCAAAAAAGGAACTTGTCACTCTAAACCTACACCTTCTAATGGTTTACTAGCTGATTCTTGGTAAAACTCGTTTTTTTTTTCTGTACATTATGAAGGATACAATGAGAATTAATCTATGTTTTGCAGTACTTTGAGTGGATCTATTTGCACTTGAATCCTCTTCATGTTACAGGTGTGTCTAGTTTCTGGCATATGGATTCATATGAATTTCTTTCACTATTGAAATAAATAGGGGCATATTTAAAATGCTACTAGCGTTCAGAGAGGTTAATAATTTTTTATTTAAAAAGAAAATATGCTTATTACTATTAAGAGCATGATTAATGGTAAATATTTCTTAGGTATGACACCTGAAAGCATGCGGCACAATGTGCTTTTCTCAGGTGAAGCTTTGGGCTCAATAAAAGTTGGAATAATGAGCATAGTGGGAGTAACAATACAAGCTTTTTAAAATAGCTTTTCCTTATTTTGTAGTCTGTTAGCGCTTGCCACTCATCTACATCACTTTAGTACAATTTGACTGCAAATTGTACTAAAGAGGATGCTTAATTGTCTTCTAAACAGCTTTGCAGCTCTAATTTAAAAGCATGGTGCTTTTGATTTCTGCTCCAGTGGTTGTCCTCTTCATGGTTTTGTTCTAAGAGGCAACACGTGCAGGGTGAGGATTTAACCTAGGGTGGTGTAAGTCATCTGTTTATCATCTGACATAGCTTTTCTGTAGTACCAGCTAGTAAAACTGGGTGAAACTGAGTGGACTATTGGAAGATACACAGGTTATAACAAAGCTTGACTATGATTTAGAATGTGCTTTTTAAGTAGTCTGTGGCTTAAGAAATGAGCCCTGCTACACAATGTATGCTTCATCAAAAAATGTCACATTTGAACATCTGAAATCTTCTGCTACCATTCATAACGCTTTCTGAATACCTAGTCAGATGCTGCACACACTAGTTTCATAACTAGGAGTGAGTGCTTCTCTACCTGCACCTTAGTCCAAAAGGCTGTCAGTCTGTCAGTTCGAAAAATACTTCTGTGGTCTCAGGAAACACAGACTTTGTTCAACCTGTTGCTGTGATGCCATGTGAATTACACTAGTTCATCACTAACTTCTTTCATGAGTGGAAAGAAGGTAATAGATTTACACCAAGGAAGAGTGTAATCAGATTCTTAATTCATGTATTCCTCTCACCTGAGTGGTCAGCAGACCTGAGATCTCTCTTCAGGCGAATGGGCCCTACTACGGTGTGAGTTTTCCACGTGTGTGAAGAAATGGCTCTTTTTTGCCTGGAGATACAGCCTTCGGTACAGCGGGAGGTGGTGGTGTTGCTGTCACAAATTAAAACATCGCACTGGAGATAAACTGATGAAAAGCTCTGCAGGAATCTGAAGGCATTAAATTTGAATCTTCCATAGTGTTCAAGTGGTGGGTAGGTTACCACAGTGTCATCTTTATTGCAGCTGCAACAGAATTTACGGATCAGTTAAAGTAGTCCACATACAGCAATCATTCTTGCTAACTGCTGTTAACTGTAACTACAGAATTTAACTAGGGCATTATTCTCACATGTGGGCGTACAATGATTTTTTTTTTTTGTCTCCCCAGTGCTATGTGATGCTTGGTTTTTCTAGCTCTATTTATGTAATGCCTTTAAATTTCTATGAAATTTAGCTTCCAACTACAGTCTACTAAAGAAGATAAGAGGAAGAGAGCCAAAAATAAAAGAACTACGATTGGCATTTAGCTTATATTTCCTCACGTATTAGGAGATGGTAATAAAATTAATATATACTCTCTCACCCGCTTCTGATTAAGTCATATGTTGGCGATCCAAAATCAGGCTGTGGAGATGCTATACAGGTGTCAACAAACACCAGAAGATTTGGGTCAGTGGAGTGAAGACTGACTTGAGCAAAAAGAGTTTGGTTCAAGTCTACATAGTACGGGGACTGGCGTACAGGCTTGGAGAATGAGTCTGAATCGTAGAATGACATGCTGACGTTGTATCTTCCCACAGCGGTTGTGTTTTGGATTACGTTATTTTTTGTTATGTAAATGACTTCTACAGTTGAATTGTTTTCCATTTTGCATTTCGCAATAATCTGTATGTTCTTTTGACGAGTGATAATGTTGCCAGTTGCATAGAGGGAGACAGTGTTGGTGTAAGTGATGCTCTGACCTTCATCCTGTGAAAGGAATTGTATGAAGTGCTCAGTCGTGATTGTGTGAGCAGTGCAGTTGAAAGTAATTGCACTGAAGTTGTAAAGCTGCCTAGCTGTATCAGAGGCTCAAAGTACCTTTGAAACGTGAAACAGGTTGCAACCAAAAAAACGTTATCAGCCCTCCTCTTGTTTTTTCAGAGTACTGGACCAACTTGTGCAGCAAAAAGGTTAAGGAATACTGCATGGAGTGTGGAAAGTACCAAGGCTACTCTTCAGTCACCCCTATCAAAACAATGCTATGAACTAGCTCTCGAGAATCTTCACCTCTTAGTTTTTTTTTCCCTTTTCTTGTGATTCCAGGATGAGTGCCAGCTGTATCACTTGTAAAAAATGTTTGATACCTAACATCGTGCTACCTCTGATTACCTGGGTTGGAGAGGGAATGAAACCTTTGGGGTTAATTTGTGTGCATTCTCCTGGACTTCCTTTGAAAGGCTCATTGATCATCAGGTTCTAAAAGGGGAAAAATGTTCTTTCTACTTCAAGACTGGAAACATGCAACTGGATGAGCCAAGTGAAAGCAAGTCTGCTGTTAGCTTATTCACATGCTACTCATAAACGGCTTTTACAAGCTTTTGTCAGTCATAAGCTATTGTTAGCTGATTCTCATAACTTTTTTCCCCCTTTACCTTTTTAGTTGTTCCACAGCTGGCTAGTGGGAAGGAAAAGATCACTGA